ACTACAGGCTATATTTATTGATGTCTTGTTTAAATTCTTATTCTAATAGGTTCAATTGGTTCCTCAGCATTTCTGCCACTTATTACAGTTTCAGGAGGTACACTTCATTTATCCAATTTCAACGTAGTCCATAAATGCATTGAGGAACCTACTGACACCATTGTTGTTAATAATGGTGAGTATTACTTGTATTCATTGACCATTATTTTTGTTTAAAAATAGTAAGAAATTATTTTGAAGTGTCAATAATTGCATGTACATTTGTATTCACAGTATAAAATTATGTTTAAAATTATGAAGTAGAGGTAAGTAATACTTTGCAATCTGAATAAACTATTAGTTGTAAGGAAATACCAGTAACAGTAGTACTAAAACACTTTTTTGGCTTCCTTGTCAGGTGGAAAGTGCAATATTACCAATGTTCAGTTTCAAGGTGAAAATTCTACTTTCTGTTTGCTTCAACATTCAGAAGTATCTATTGGGTAAGCTGTACAACAAATAAAATTTTTAGTCCCCGTACGGACGCAGTGCGTGCGTCCGGACCTGTATCTTAGAAATGCCTGGACCAATCACAATCAAACTTCACACATACATCATACATGATATTATACATAGGCACGTAAATTTGTTTCACGATCTGATTCAAGATGGCCGAATAGCGGCCATTTTTGTGCTAAAAATCATCAAAATCAAGCATTTCTCGGCTGTTTACTGATAGATTTTGTTCAAACTTGGTATATACATTATACATTATGGGACCTTGATGCAAATAATTTTGTTTTTCAGATAAGATTCAAAATGGCGGCCATTTTGTTTAATGAATGGGCTTCTAGACCCATATCTCCGACTTGTTTTGACTGATAATATTTTCAAATTTTAAATATTCATTATACATAATGTCATAGATAAACAGATATATTGGTTTGACGTTCCTATTCCAAATGTTGGTCATTTTTGTGCTAAAAAATCATCAAATATCAAGCATTTATGGGTGGATTTCGTTCAAACTTGGTACATACATTAGACATTATGGGTTCCTGATGCTCGTCATTTTATTTTTCAGATTGAATTCAAAATGGCTGACTGGCAGCCATTTTGTTTTAATGATTGGGCTTCTAGAGTCATATCTCTTAAATGCTTTGACTTATTATATTTAAATTTTATATATTCATTATACATCGTTATATATATACATGTATTCAAAATGGCTGATTTTGAATGCTGTTCCAGAGCAATATCTCTCAATATGGTCAAGTACTTGTTTGACGATCAGATACAAATGTCAATCATTTTAATGTTAAAAAATCATATTCCTGACATGGTTATATTCCAGCTGTATTACTATAAACAAAACTATATATCTTAAATTTAATAACTAACGGGGACTGTGCCATGCATGGTTTGTCTCTTGTGTGATTGGTTGTTTTCTGTAGTTTATGATTAGTTCCATTAAATATAATGTAGTATGTGGTTGGTTGCATTGAACATGCTGTAGTGTGCGATTGAATGCTTCCAATTGTCTTCAGCATGTGATAAGTTGCTTTGAAATTTCTACAAAATTTGCTCTTATTTAATTGTTTGAAATTACATTTCATACCTACTATATGTAGTTTTAAAACACATGGAACAATCATTTACCCTTTATTTAGAAAAAGCTATTATTTAATTTATACACTGTAAGTGTATGGTAGGAATTTAACTGTTTGTGGTGAGCATGCATAGTTAAGCATTCAATAAGCATGAGGGGTTTAGACCACAATTATTTAACATTTTCATGATTTATACAGTTTGTTCAGGTATTATGTGAAATTTAGTGTGTAAAAATATAATTCTAGATGTACTTCATCTCATGTACCTTGGCCATACCCAAGCTATAATTATATACCATATTTTCTCTATTAGTAGCGTATACATTTAAATAAATAACAGAGGTATGTCTATAATCAAAATAATCATATTTTAATAATCCAGCTTTTTAATACAGAAAATGCAATTTTTGATTACCGGTAATGTGTGTTTCAATTGAAGTTTTGCTTCCATAGAGAAAATACACTATCCATGGAAATTGTAGAATGCTCATTTGCCACTTAAAACAACTAGAAGAATTAATTGAAATATCGCTTTTTGAGTATGGTAGGTTTGATTAGGTTAGAGTATTAACCCTATAATTTCAACTTACTTATAGATTGCACAATATATTTATTGATTTGATTGTTCATAGGAAATGTCGACTAATAGGAGGTAGCACAGCAATATCAGTGTCTAATAGTTCTACATTAAAACTCACTGATACAGTTATATCAGCATTCACTCACGTTGGTAAGTTGGTAATTTCTTTATTTGATTATAATAGCCAAGAGAGGCAGGTTAGTGTGAAGTATACATGTATGTGTGGTGTCTTGTGCAAATCACCTCTGTTGTAATCTTATACATGATATACTGTAAAAGGGTTGGTTATTCACTCAGTTTTAATTCTGCTTATTTTGCTGACTGGAAAATTGTGCTAAATTAATACCCAGTGAATATGTAAAATTTAGCATTGAACACATTATCTAAATGATAAAACTGTGAATTTAAAACCCACTGAATATGCCTGAAATGGTAAATCAGCGAAATTTAAACCCAGTGAAAATTAGTCATTTTACAGTATGTCTGTAATTTTAATAACGTGATGAATTTTGCAGGTGTTAATATAATTAGTGGTGCATCTGCTAACATACAAAAGTCTACTGTTAGTTGCTGTGGACAGCATGCAATACTGAGCCATAATGGAGCACAAAGAGTTGAACTTATCCACAGTAAGATTATTAGTAATTCAAACTGTCAAGAAGGCCATGTCCCAGCTGTACAACTATCTGCTGGAAAACAAAATCTCATCAGACATTGTGAGATTTTGAAAAACGGAGGACCAGGTATTTCAAAACTTTGTATTATTCATCCCATGAAAAAAAAAATACCCCAAAATGTTAAATTTTTTTTTAAAAAAAAAGGATTTTTTCACCTTGTTCTTAGTTCTTAAAATTGAGAATTAGTGGACCCTGGAAAATCAACAAAATGATTATATGAAAAGTTGCTTATGTAAACAAATATCCAATTATACTTCTGGGCAAGTATTACACACATGATCAAGGCAATGCATAACCCAAAAATATTATAGAATTTTATAGCTTACGATTAAAAAAATATCTACCTAGAAATTACCAAGAAATATTAGGATTGAGCAAACTTCCTGCAAAACTTTTGTGAGTTTGTCCTCTTTACAGTGAAAGCCGAAGGTTTGGTCATTGAGATTGCTCTGATAAAACTAGAACAACTTATTACTTTTCTTCAAAATAATTTCAATTATCAGTAGAGTTAGTCTACAGTCCTGACATAATATAAATATGTTGGACCGTAGACAAAAGTCTGTAGGTACTTAACACTATTTTGAAACAAAACAGGTAATCAGTTTTTCTAATCCTACAACTTCCAGAGAAATCTTGTGGTTTTTTCTGTACTATCATTCATCATGAACTGCTTTTTACTTAAGTGGCATTTTTGTCAATGTCTCATTGTAGGAATACGAATAACTCACGGATCTGAGTGTGCCATAGAGGACAGTATATTTAAACAGAACCCTATTGCGATAAATGTAATCGGGAGAAGTCGATGCAGTATAATAAGATGCAGGATGGTGGAGGTATCTGTGGGTCTGGATATCTTGCATAATCAGAATGGTCAAGTATTTATGAAAGATAACACCATCAAGCCGTCAATGTAAGTCTTGAAATTGATCACATTGCTGATTTTTACTGAAATATGCAAAAACTGTTCATCATAAATATTAAAGCAGCTTGCAGTATTTAGACACATTTGAAAGTGCCATGAAGACCACTACTCATTGAGATAAAATTAATTCACCTTGTGAGTAACCAAACAGTGTAATTTTCCCATAGCGTTAAGTCCTAACCTGGTGGCCATCTCAAATTTAAAATTCATCAAAATACATTTAATTGAGTTTCTTAGATTAAGTACCAAATGTTTTTTTGTAAAAGTCAGTAATAATTTAACAAAATTTCAGGACATTTCTATGTCAAAAGTGTATCCATCCTTAACAAGTAAACCCTGTTGTCTCAAAATAAGTTTAGAACACTTTGTCTAAAATGGCAGCTAGCTCAATGTGACATTTCTAATTATTTGCCATATTTTGGGTGTAAACGGTAAAATTAACAAAAATCACTTGAAATGATTGAAGAAAAGTAGGACATTTTAAAAAACAAAACAGCAAACTGCTGATGCCCTGTGAGCATCTGAATTCCTGCATACCATATTTGTTATATTAGAAGTGCATTAGCTCACACTTGTTGATCCATGCTGTTTGATAAATGTTGGACTTACATGTATGTGCTTTTATTGAAGACAAGTTACTAACAGAAAACATATAGTATAGTTTATTTGATTGTTATTGAGTAACTGATTTTCAAATTATATTTTTCATTCAGAGCTGAGGTAATGATGTTGTCATCTGACAGCATTCCAACAATGGTTGGACGATTACATAAAGTCAAGTTACGTGACGATGTATCATCCAAACACATCAGGACACCCAGATTAGAAACTTTACAGGTAATACACTCACTAAAATGTATGTGTATATTTTGCATTGTGTTATATATATATTTTTTATTTCCTTGTTATTTGCATCATATTGCATCCCAGCTAAAAAAAAAATGTTTCATCTGAGACTCTTTATTTCTTATTATTCAACAGAAAGTTGTTGCTCCCAAGAAGTTTGTGAGATAGATGAAGACTCCATGACTTGTGTATTTGATGCATGATTGAACTGATTACATATTAGATGTTCCAAGATGTCTTCTCAGTAATATGGCTTGAAACAAATAACCTTTGCATATAGACCTTTTGCATTTATTGTACATAATAATACGTATACACCACTATATGTTTTACTTGTTATTTCAATGGGACACATTTGGTGAGTCTCTATAATGGTCACCAATGTATATCTTGAGAAAAACACCAAAACAAGCATGTATGTTGTTTCATACCACCAGCCCGGTATAGTGCAAATTCGGATGTGCAAATCGCATTTGTAAGATTAGCAAGATCAGGTTCTCCACTGTGTGGGGTCCAGTTCTATGTTCTTTGCCATCCCATAAGGGTATTGGAAATTGGTCTAGTGCTTCATAATTGGGCAATAAATTATTTGGTCATGAAAAGTACAATTCTGATATGAATCAGAATTTTAGTAGTCAATTATTACTTGGTTGAATTTTTCAGATGGTGATAAATCAAATCAAAATATGGTGATAAATCAAAAAAATTATCAATTTACATAACATATATTGCAATATACAAACGTTTTTAAATGGGTATTACAGTCACACTCATGACTTGACAAAAACATATCAATAGTATATCCGTATAATTAATACAGAATTTTTTTATTATATATTTGATCTTACTTTTTTATTGTTCTGTGGTATTTAAACAATTTTTCCTGTAATACTGCTCCTAATAATCAGCAAAGTTGATAGAAATATTAATATTTGTCAACGGATTTTCACAATACTTGCTATGGGACTATTATCATTTTTCGTTGATTTTTCTGCACACTGTTGCATCATTTGTACTAAATATAAATAATGAACTACACAGTCAAGCTTTTTGTCACTGTGAACAACATAATTTTCAATCATTTCATATTTTATACATCAAAACAGTATTTGGTCACTAGAGGGCACACAACTACGGTAATTGGAGTATGCCAGTGACTACTGCATTTGCTCTGTGTTTTATAATTACATACTCCGGTTTGATTGCTGCCAGAATTTAAACAATGAAATATTATATTATTGGTTTAAAGTTGCACAATGTGTTGTAAATTTAATCAAAAGTATTTATTGTACAACTTTTTTCCAAATTTCAACTTTTAAAAATAAAATGTTACTTATATTGTATTTCTGTCAAATTTTAAAAATGTTTGTCATTATTGTATTGTGTTGATCAAGAAAATTTTTCTGAATATTTAATGAAATTTATTTGATTTCTGAAAAAATATGGACTGATTTTTTTTTTTTAATAATAAATGTTGTATGTGCAAACCTGTTCAGTTGTATTCAACCCTGTCAGCAAATTATTTTAAAGGAAGTTCTGTTTTTTTCATCATACGACCAACTCTCTCATGCACTGAAAAAGGTAAGGTGGTATGTTTATATTACTGTGTTGCTGCAATGTTCTAAATTTGTTACCACGTACATAGTCTTGTGGATTTAATAATTGTGATGCTATAGCATCGTCCGCCCGCCTGCACTGTGTTTTGTTCATTCATGGGAATGCCAAATCCAAATTTTTAGAACAGAATCAGCAAACTTCTTTGCGTGGAGTCCAGTCAAACCTTGGTGGCAGCCATGTTTGTTTTTATTATTAAAAGACGCTTTCGCGCATAATCACTCCATATTTGGAATTTGCATTTCCTAATAATTATTATCAGCAGCGAACAACAGCAGTTTTTATTTTTGAGGACAAACGACCAGTTCTAGCCAACCAGTTACTATGCGCACACACACAACATAAACAAGTACAGCCTTTAACATAATTTAAAGCTACCGCGGTACTGTCAAATTGTCTAATTTTTTCACAATTTTTCACAATCTTCATTATTACTATTGCAAATCCAAATTATTTGAGATACAATTATGTGTAAAGGTAACAATTGTTGGTACAAGAGCATGGCTTTTAATGGATGGACTAATAATAAACAATCAATTTATTTCACATGTCAATTAAAAAAAAAATTACAAATGTTCATCATTGCATGCCTGCAAAATGAATAAAACTATATTTATACTGTTTAGTGGCCTAGACATGTGAACATACAAGAATAGAATAAATCAAGCATAATATTCAGGTCAGATATTACTTCTAATTGTCAACCCTTCATCAAGACATCTTCAAGGCATAATGGACTGCCAAGTGTTTCCTTTATATGAAGGATACTGAACAAATGATGTAAAAACATTGAAACAAAAACTTGTTTTTATTTCAGCCCCCTTCCCATAGTTTTGATCCCTACTGGGTTTTCTACTTGTCATAACCACTCTCACTGCCTCCACTGCTAACTTTGGATCAATCCAAATTTATTTCAATGCACATTTATATTAGAAAACAAGTTTTTGTGTTTTTGTTTTTATTGAAAATGTTATACTTTTCATTAGTTTTACATTACAGCATCGTAATACTGCACTCTCCACAAAAGGCGTGACCATTAGAATTTAGGGGGGGGATAGACCATTTTCCGTTCACTGCGAGAATCGCGCGTTATGCGTGAAATCGAACGTAAAAACAGGACAAACAAAGGTCATAGCGTCGTAGTCGCGTCAAAAATCGCGTTGGATTCGACAAGCGCGAAAGTATTTCGGGGACATTTCCATGCTTAATAATGTGCTGTCCACATTTGATGATAGGCAATTTCGATTAAGTAAGGGTATTCGGAAGCAATACTCCTCTGTCGAAGATCGGCCGGTCAATATAAGCTGCGAAATAAAGAAATTCTAGTTCAAAATCAAATCGTTCGATTTTTGCGGCAGACGTTCGACGCATGTCTTTCATGCATCTCGCGAGATCTCGCAATTGTACGGAAAATCACCTATTGAACTACCTCTCTAATTATAGTTTGTCACTAGTTTGGGGCCAGATTCAAATTTGTCTGTATCAAGTACAAGTAGGATGTCTTTTTTTTCTATAATTCTCTCTGTAGATATGTTTTTCATATTTTCAGTGCAGATTCTTTTTTAATCCACCATCTAAACCAACCTCTATCCATAACAGGCTGATCCACTTTCATTTTTGGTACCTACAATAATATTTAAAGTAAATGGGCTGAAATAATATTTATGATGACAAATAAGATTATACATGTATTTACATGATCTAATAATTCAGAATTTCGGATTCACTCATAAATATTGCCTGTATTGTCTATCGAGATCTATACCACACCAGAGGTACATTACTTGGGGTTTGCAACTACGGTGACATGATACCAAGATCCCGTCACAATCTCGCTCTCGCATAAGCGTTCCAACTCAGAAAAATGCGAATGCGCATGCCCGAGGTAACTAGGATACTGGGATGTCCAGGTGGATCAAAATAGCTGCCCACGATATGACGGATTACGAGAACTATATTTTCTGTACATTTTCGATGTATTACATTTTTCACTATGATAGTGACAAGAAAAATTTTATTTTTTCATTACAAACCTTGAACATTGATATGTGTCTTGTCAGAAGGTCGTAGCTTCAGTCTCGCTATCTACGAGAAGAGACTTGAATGGGATCTTGACATGATGTCACCATACAGTACTATGCGAGTTGCAAACCCCAAGTAATGTACCTCTGACCACACTTAAATGTAAGATAAATGTCAGAACAAACGTCAAATCTACTGAAATCAACATAAGGGTCAGATAAAGGTCTCCATGACTTCTAGATTCGATAATGAACTTGGGCAAAACTTATCAAGTTCTGAACATATACCATTCACCACGTACAACTGCAATCATGTACGCTGTAATTTTGATTCAGGATTTTATACTTTCTTTTTTTTTTTTTATAAAATAATGCTAAAGTTTTTCCGTGTTCAAAGTAAATAAAGAATATTGTTTCATTGTAAATTTTTCTAAATTAATAATTTTTGGCTGCACAACAAAGGCCTTCCTTTCATCATTATAAATATTTATGAATTTCATAATTCAAACTGAGCTGAGAGGGTTCTATTGGCCGATATAAAATGAAGAGATAATCATATTTTTTCACTTAATTTCAAAATTATTCGTATGCCATTTATAAGCAATGAGACCGAAGGCCAACTATGATTGTAAAGAACCTGTCACGTTACTTAAAGGGCGGTAGTCGTCACGCTGCGCATGTGCGACATTTGTGTTGATAAACATTGATTCTCCCACAATCCAATGCACTCTTCTTATGGAAGCACAAATATGAGGTTTGACCTGGGCGTGACTTGCACTAATTACCGCCGGTGACTCCTTCGATACCTTCCAATCACCTAAAAATACCTAATTAAAGCTTGGTAACGTCTCAGTTTTAATTCGCAAAAGTCAAAGCGGCCATCTTTGTTTATATGAGACGCATATACCTCGCGCGTGCGTGGCGCAACAACTACCGCCCTTTAAGTTCACATTGTATACAGCCTCATTCCATGAACATGTCTTGATTTGTAATTCTTCTTGGTGAGATGTGTACAACGAAGTTTTGCTTCAATCAAAGATTAATACGCAGGTAAATATAGATTCTAATATAGTGCACAATCCGGTGAAGTAGAAGAACCAGGTTTTGCCTTTTTCAAGTGCACCAGAACGCACAAAATATATCTATGCACAAAAAAACAAGAAGAAATGAATATTTCTATGAATTATCATTAGAAAAATGCTGATCATTTTCAAACATAATAAACAGTAGACAATGTTTGGTAATCTTTGTCTTGAGTAATTATTCAAAATAAACATTTCTGGCAATGGCCCTCCCTCAGTCACATATGAGAATGTTATATTTGACTTATTCAAAATGATTTTCTTTCGGCACCAAACTAATCACAGCACCTCATTTCTTGAAAGTATTTTTCAAATATTTTTCTATAATTTCTATTTCATTTTAAACAAAACATAATTTCCATCTTGATCAAAATAGGGAAAAGGTTGTGTTTATATAGTGAAATTTGTCAAAAGTTGACTTTTGCGTTCAAAGGGTTTAAACACTGACTACCGGTACTGTAAAATCTGTATTAACAGCTGCGGCTTCTATTAAAATGGTACAATGCAACAGAGGGGATGCGGCTTCTATTAGAGCATCTACACACTGGTTCTCAATTGTTCAAAGAGAATGGGTGCGACTTCTATTAGGGATGCGGCTTCTAATACAGATTTTACGGGCTTACGCTGAGAGATATGTATATGACACCAGCTATCCCATGTTTCGGCACCCCTAAACACAAGGTACTCTCTATCAAACAAAAAATCCAAATCTTCTTAAAAAACAGCTATGGAACAAAACAGCAACAACTATCAGTGTATTAGGCTACATTTTGTGTTCATTCCATATTCTGTATTCACCATTGGCTGCAAATTGTTTTTGATTTGTTTTATTTTTTTTAGAAAAGTTTTTATTTTTTGTTTTCCTTTTTAGATTGTAGTTTTTTAATTTCTTTCTGTAAGACCCTTTTTATCCTTTCCTAAGGATTTTATGCGTCTAATAAAAAAAAAACAATGACCACCTTGGTAGAAAGCATTGATAGATGCATTAGTGTAACTTACCATGATACATTGTATTAAAACAAATCCTAGTAAACTGACTCCGAGCAAGATATATAATGCTTCATTTGCAACCACACTTCTGTAAATACTTAATGCTACTGTCAACTGTGTACCAGAAAAATCATTAAAGCAAGTAAGTAAACAAATGGCCGCTTAGATGTCATTGAGAGAGAGAGAGATAGTTGCATTTTCTATCGTCATTGTTTTCACTGTTTCAAAATACCATAGTTACATAGGTCATGGGAATGGATGCAATAACAGGAGGAAATGGAACACTAAGGGGAGGGGCGGGTATCATGTTTCTAATTTTCAAATAAGATTTATCGTTAACAAAAGAAGCAATTATTCATGGTCAACACAAAAACTATGATTATAGTATATAATTTCACAAGTGATATAAAACTAATTGATGAACTTACCAAAACCATCACAATTACCACAGCAATAAAAACTACCTGCATAACTTTCTGTGAAAAAAAAAGGATA